GGCTGAGCAATGATGTATCCTGAAAGGCCATCCTGGAAGGCAGGGCAGACACAGGCAGACAGGAGGACGCCGACTGTACCAGGGTATCTGGGCAGGGCTGGGTGGGAAGATCAGGCAGACCCAGGCCCAGCTATCTTGCTACTGCACATCTCAGGTCTTCTTCACTCCTGCTGGGATTTTCTTCAACAAGAAAGTGAAAACATAAAGAAAATGAAACAGAAAAAGGAAAGGTGGCCCAGATCAGTTTTCCATGGTGGAAAAAACAGAGCTTTTCCTTTCCTTTTTTTCTTCTGTTTTCAACATGGTGATACAAAAGGAGTACGGGTTTTAGAATCTAACGGCTCTGGGTTTTGAGTCTTTGCTTTATCATTTACCAGCTGCTGTGCCTTGGGGAGATGTCAGCCGTTTGGGCCCCAGTTTCCTCTCTGGAAAACTGGGTCCCCACTCAGAATGACTGTGCTGGAGACAAGGTGCACCCCAAGCACAGAACGTGACAAAGGCAGGCTCCTGTATACCGTGCATCTCACTCATCCTTTCCCACCTATTCTGCTTTCCAGTTTATCCATAAACATATACTCCATTCTTCAATTCCATAATCACCTTTAATTTAACATAACAAGGGTACAGGACTCTGCTTGTGAAAAACAAGCTGTTACCCTCATAGAATCCAGTCTCCATCATCTAAATGAAACATTAACACCAAACATTGGGCATTTTTCATTCAAAATGTCCTATTTATTAACATAAAATGTGTTCGAGATATTACATTAAACCCAGCAAAGGGTGCAGAGAAAATGCCATACACCTCCAGCTCCTGTGTGCTGTGTGGGGGTGCATGCGAACAAACACACATACACACACACACACACACACAAACACACCATAGCAACTATTTTCCCATCAACAGACATCACTATTATCTTTTTTTTAAGTAAAAATAAAATAAAAACTACTCTGAAATAGATCTCTTTCTTGCACCTAAAAAATTTATTTCCTGTACATTTTGGCACTGGCTACACTGGGAGGAAGGAAGGTAAGAAGGCGGAGATTCCCCCTTACCAGGCTGAGGATACCAGGGCTTGGCCCAGGTCCTGCCTGTCCCAGGGAGCTTGTAGAGAGCTGGGCCTGACCTCAGCAGCAGTCCTTCTACTTCACTTCTCTTGATCTTACTTCCCACTGAGGCTTTGCCATCCTGATTGATTGGTCTCCAATCTATACCCACTGCCTTTGAACTCAACTACAAGATCATCGCCTGTTTCAGAATACAGGAGCTATATCAAAGGGAAGTATAAAAAGAATAAAATACTGTGACCAACAAATAGCAATTACGGTAATTCTTAAATTCCCATAATACCCAACTGTTCCTGAAAAGCAAGTCTTTCACCTTCACTGATATAACTATTTTCACAAAAGGTAGAGCAACAACAGTTATTGAACTTGTTAAATAAAAAGAAAATCGCCATTCATTTTAGGAATGAGAATACACAGTTAGAGGTTAAGAGATTTGGGCAGGGTCACACAGAAACAGCTAGAACTCAAGTCTTATACCTTAAATGTTTGCTGATTTTCTCCTTTTATTGTACAATTCTTTAAAGGTTATCTTTCGAAATACTAGCATAGATTACTTTCTCAGAATAACCTTCATATGATGACAACATGAGAGACTGAACTAGAGACTGAAATTTACCCTATAGGTAGGATCACATACATTATGAGCAAGACTTCCATTTAGAGTTCAAAACTTCTCGAAGGTTCATAAATCAGGAAACCCTGTAGAAATAGGGCATAATTCTATTAGGAAAATTAATAATTTCTTTACCTGTAAAATGGAGATAGTACCTACCATAAAAGCTCTGTGAAGATAAACTTCAAAAATACAGGGAGAGTTTTGCACAGCACCCTGAGCAAATAGTAAATCATTTGTGGCCTCATAATAGGCAGGGCAGGACTCTCAACTGTTTGCCGTTATAAACTGTGCCAAGAGGGCTTTCTGTTTACCAGGCCTTTGTACTGATCAAATACATACTTTCAATTAAATTTAAAATTATTTTGGAGTACTTCAGTTTAATTTTTTTTGGTTTTACTTTTTACTTCAGAAAGTTTGCCAACCATACTTCACAAGTTTGAAGACCCACAAATCTTGTAATTCTAACCGTGATTGAATCAGGCCATTCTGGAGTCCATGTGATTTAAATGAAAATGAAAGGGATAGGGAAAAATTAATAGAGAATGGGTAAGTCGGTTCAGAGTATAAACGCACATTATGAGACAAGAGTAAAATTAAGTAAGACTTTCTGGAAAAAAAAATTGAAGAACCGAAAACTTGGAAAGAAATCATTACAAAAATGTGCCGCTGTTGATCAAAAATGACTCTCATGTGAGCATAACGCTTATTATTTTATAAAGGTGACCAGAGCAATCCTCTTAGCTCTTCCCACTAGTCCGAATCTCAGGGTCCGTGTTGGCTGGGGTGGGGTTGGGGGAGGCTGACAGGTGATTTTGAATCCGACAGATGTAATGGCGACTTGGGGTGGAATGGAGCAGGCTGCTCGGCCAAGTTGGGAGACGGCAGGCCAAACTGCGACCAAACTGAGAGGGCCGGGTGTTTGGGGAGGGACCCTCACTGCAGCCCAGGGGCCGCGGCCACTAAGTGCAAACATCAGGCCCTTGGACCCTCCATTATTAACGCGCCCTTCCCGGTCCAGACGCAAGCCTCCTCTGGAAACTTCAAACGGGTCATCACGGGGCATTCAGTCCTATTTTTTTCTTTTGAAGAGTGTTCTGGTGGGGAGCGACTGGATCAATGAACTATACGTTTCTCTCCGAAAGGAAGACGCCGCCGTGGACACCCAGGGGAGCTGGAGGAGCAGCGCAGGAACGACCGGCGCGGGGACCGGCCCCCAAGGTGGCTCTACGGGGACCCCAGGCCCGCAGAGAAGGAGGAATGGCTGCGGTCTCCAGACCCCTTGGACTCTGGCCCTCGGGAGGACAGAGAGACGCTGCAGAAAAGAAGCGCAGACGAAATCAAGCTCCGTTCCAGCAGTCCGGGCATCGCGGACATCAGCAACCTAAACTCAGGGTTTTGTTTTTAAAAACACTTACCCGCTTCCAGAGTGGGGGTCAAAATCTGCTGTGCATGGAGAGGGCGGACTGTTTCCGACTTTTGGAGGCTCCGCCTTCCTGCTCACTTCGCGGAACGAGGAAGTTTGGGCCTCGACGGCCGCCACTAGCGCCAAGATGGCTGCCCCCAGGGAGCAGCGAGACGAAAGTGGAAATGGAGTGTGAGGGCTCCACAACCCTCCTTCATGGATCGCAGCGCGGAGTTTCCAAGGTGGAAGGCGCAGTGTCTGAACAAAGTGGATCTCAGCAGGAAGGGCTGTGTGGACGAGGATGTAGTAGACCTTGTGCAGCTTCTGAACACGCGGGAACAGTTTTTCACCACCAGTTCCTGCGCGGGTCGCATCCTCCTCATAGACGGGGTGAGGCCCCCGCTCCCTCCCATCGCCTGCCCCTAGTGCACAATTTAGGGGCCCTGTGACCATCTAACTCTAGTTCCGGTCAGCCTGTCTGTCCCTCTGGTGGGTGGTCTCGGCTTCTCTGCGGAGGAAACGTCGGGATGAGTCAGACCCGTGTTTCTAAAACAATGGTTTATTTATCTTCTAAGGGATCGTCTAAGAGATTCTGACTCCATTGGTTAAAGATGGGGCCGTTATTGTGCATATACAACCATCCTCCAAATGAGGGCGCAACTGCCAGCCTAAGAAGTATTTTAAGTGGCCATGGTGTTCTTTTGATTTTCTGAATACTTAAGGAATTAAAGAATTTTTAGTGTGGTGAGGTTCATGCCAAAGACCGCATTTCGGACGTTTTACATAATCACCCATTGTCCAAGACTAAAATCATCAGGGTCAAGGTATTCATTGTCTGCTTGCAGCTAACACCATTAGTACGGCTTTGCTAATTTTTCTGTCACAGTTAATTAAGTAGTAGTATTAGGGGCAGCTAAGTTAAATAGAAATTAGTAGACAGTCAGAGAGGGACCGAGCCCTCAATGAAGTCAGCAAGCACAAAAAAACAAAGACATCAGAATTGGGGCTGGAGGGCCATCTGAAGGAGGGCCCGTCTCAAGATGGAGATGCAGTGGCCCGGCCTACATGCCTCCCTAAGAGATAAACAGTAACTTCAAATTATGCTATACTTAGAAACACCTGGTCTAGGAAGTCCAGCTACGCATCAGTCACCCAGGTGGGTGACCAGAACACCTGGACCCCTCCCTTCTCTGAAATGCATTTGTTCTTTCTACACTTGCTCTACCCTTGCTACGTGACTTCTTTATTGGATTAATACTAGCCTAGCAGCTATACTTGTAATCCCACAGGTCGATTATAGTGTGACTCACACTGTACCCCTGTTTTGACTTCCCTGTATAAATTACCTCTGACACAAAGGCTCAGTGGCCATGCACTCAGTACCCTTCCTAGAAATCCAGAGACTATTCTTTCCTTCCTTAATTCCAATAAACCTTTCCTAACTTCTTCCTTTGGTTCGTGACTTCATTCTCAGATGTTGTGAGACCCCGAACTGCACATTTGACATCTTAACAGGTTGGGAGTTTCATGTGAGAAGTAAAAGATAGTAGTGGTAAAGTCCTCAGGCTTTGAAGTGATGCTACTTGGAATCTAAACCAGTTATGGGAATTATATAGAGTATATGCTCCAAAGAAATTTTGTGTGGAGATAATAGGGTTGTTTATTTTAAGCACTTTAATATCACGCCTGGCTCATGTTGAGTGTGGTTTAAAGTTGGCTTTGTTTTCATTGTATTACCAGTTTTTGGAGTATTGAAGATAGCACATTTATTTGTTCATTCTTTAGGTCCAGCATGACTAGTCTTTGCATGAAGTTAGCAAGATTTTCTCTTTTTATATTGCTTCCATTTTATCCCAAGCATTGATACTATTGCAGTAGTTTTAAGTGTTATCACTGAACCACTATTCTCTTTCTTGCAAGCCATGATATATGCTAACAGATCTGCTCTTTGAAGTTAGAACTCTGTGTCACACATTTTTTTTTTACATTGGAAAATCCAATCCTATACTATACCTTTCACTCCTACTTTCTGCTATTAGTATTTAACTAGTTACTGTAACTAAACTATTTTCTATCTTGTATTTACCTGCTTTTACCTTTGTTCATGTTCTAACCCTGAAATATTTCACCTGTCTTTGTGTTTCTAAGTCATGATTCCCAAAACATGTGTCTTCTGAATACATACACACACTTGGAAGTAATGACTCCTGAACTGGCTCAGGACTTTATCCAAATCTCTTTTCATTTTATTTTTTATCTTAGACCTTGTGATATATTTTCAGTTTGCCTTATTTCAGACACGATTTGGAGCACCTTACAAAGAGGAAACAAAAAATAAAAGGGAAAATCTGGACAAAGAAAATATGCGTAAGCTAACCCAGACGTGACATTAGTTTCCAAATCATGCCACTAGATCCTGTAAACTTGCTAAAGATGGACCAACATTTGGCTCTGAGGTTTACAGGAGCCAGTGGGAAGTCAGATACATAGGTTATTAAAATCTTTATTCAGGACGTACACAGTTCTTGCTGGCTCTGAGGCCAGACGGCAGCCTCCTGCAGGCCCATTGTATAAATAGTTCCTTTGTAGAAGTATAGTGATTTTTGTGCATGTGGTTTCCTGCATCCTCTTTCTAGTGTCTTATGGGTAGGATCTGTGTATATGTGATAGAACTTTGCAAATAAACATTTGTCTGGCCTCGGTCAGTGTTAAAATCTGTGCCTTCCTAAAACTTTGAACTTTAAGTCCTAGTTCCTGATGAAACTACATATAAAATATAATAAATCTCAAATGTATGCCCATAGAAGCCTGGTAAGTTTTTAAAAAACTGAACAGCACAGGTGTCTATAAAGAGTGGTAGGCCCTGTGTGGGACTGGAGCAGTGCTGTCCTACAAAAGGAACTCAGATTGTCATGTATGTGTTTTAATACTGTAGTAACCAAATAAAACAGCTATGGTGAAAGCTACTAGCTCAAAATCCCTTATAATTCTTTTCTCTTTACTCTTGTACATGACCATGTACATAACCATATTTCAAAAATATTAAATACTTTATCTTTCAAATGTTGTTATTTTGATTCTTTTTTGTTTTGTCAAACTTTACCCAAAAACATACTGAATTATTTTCATTAACTCTTAAATTTATTTATTTAAGAAGTCTGTAATATGCTATGCCTTGTTCCTATTTTTATAAATATTATATGATTAAATTATTTTATTATTTTAGGATATAAATGGTTTTGAGGTTCAGAAACAAAACTGTTGCTGGCTGCTGGTTACACACAAACCTTGTGTAAAAGAGGATGTGGTAAGTTTATATATATATATGTAAATTCAGAAATAAACTTTCAAATTCACAGTTACTTTAAATATGCATGAAAAGAATAGTACATTCAAGGTAATTTATGTGCAAGATTATAATGAATGAAGATTATAAAGCCTAGAAAGCTTTCATTACAATGGCTTTTTGGGGTTGGAGGAGATAAAAGTGTGGAAGTATAAATATTTATGCAGGCATTACTTACTGTGGCTCAACAAACTACATCCTTTTGGATGTAGCAGAAAGTTCATGGACATTGGACACATTGGATCCAAATTTCAAATTTCATTTCTGCCATCTGATAACTGTAGCCTGGGACAGGTATTTGAAGGAGAAGGGGACTAGCCTTGCCTATGCAGTACTAGCGTCACTGATATAAATAAATTACATGTTACTTACCTGGATTGCTTCTGGGAAATCTTCATCTATGTGTTTGGTTGTTTATTTTCCTAAGTTGAAGTGTATATACGTTTGTGTTAACCTGGCACTTTTTATTCCTTGTCAATTTAGAAATTCAGTTCCATTTCCTACAGATAGAAAGGACAGGGGGAGATGGGATCAGGCATTGCTGGCTCAGGTACTCAAATGTTGTCTTCAGCGCAGTGCGTCTTCCTCTTTGGTTTCTGGTCTCTTGTATTCTCTTCTATTGCAGATAATTATTTTTGTAGAAGGAATTATGGCTGCCAACAACTCTAACAAAATAATGACTTGCTTTGCCTGCGATTCATGTATCATTCCCGGAGAGCGACTCTGAGCTGTCCGGCATGGATTCACTGATTTCCCTTTCAGATAGGTGCTTTTGGCTAGTGAGCTGATACAGTGTCCTTGGTCAGACATAGGCCCATGATGCCTCGGATCTGCCCAGGAGAGTGACTGAGCGGCAGGGTCGTGATTGATAGTTCCAGACTCAAATGGTGTAGGGGAGGGAAGGTGCTATTCGGGAGTGCTGGGCAGACAGAAATAATAACTGTCTCGTATAAATGCTAGCTCAGACTTAATATTACATGTTTCACTAGGTGACCCAGCAGTGCCACAAGACAGACTATAACACAAGTGCAGCTAGGGTTAAACCCAGGTAAATGCTGTGCAGGGAAGAGACAAGTACGTGGCTTAAGGTTGCTAGGAACAGACCAGACACATAGCAGGCTCAAGTGGCATCACATTGACTTACAGCAGGGGGTTAGAGACAACAAGATCCAGCTTGTTGCCATGTGTCAGGACCCACAACACATCCAACAAGGGCATCGTGACTGCACACACCCTACTTGGTGCTGCAGTGGAAGGACCCTAACCCCTGCTCCATGGAACCTGAAATCCAGAATGTTGGGGATATGCCCAAGGGCCATTAGTTTGCTTATTTTCAAATGATGCATGCGTAACTAAGCAACTCCAAGGAAAGTTCACTTGTGCCCCATATACAGGGAACAGAAATGCACTGCCTGTGTTCTCTGTTTTTTTGTGTGTGCAGTATGACTAGGAGTTTACCAGTGCTGTTGGGATCAGAGCAGAGGCATCAGGCTGTGCTCACAATATACATGTCTCTGTTCAGTCTAGCAACCTATTTAAACAAGGTCGTGGTGTAATGGGATCCTGGGACAGGCTTCCAGGTTCTTGTATATGATGAACAGAGCCTTTTCAATGTTGCCTGCAACGGAAAGGAAAAAGCAGCTAAGTTTAATGAAGTCTGAAGGTGAAAGGTATGATCAGAGCAAGTGGACTCATGCCAGCAGCAAGGAAAATGACACAACGCAGAATTTGTTGGGCTTGAGATTTAAAATGTGTGCCTGGCATAGGGTGCCTCTCATTGGGTGTCTGAGAGCACGAGTGACAAAATGATTTGCAGGGTGCTGAGTCACCTCAACTGTGCTTGCTGCCCGTGTCCTTTCCCTTAATTCGTGTGCTTATAATTGGATGCATGAGATGCAGTCTGTATGTGTGAACCTTTAACAAGATCCAGGTGAAGAAAGGTCATTCACTGTAAGTCACCCAGGCAGTTTGGCACACATGCATTTTGGTTTGAAATTCAGGATTTACCAGGGGTCTTTGTTATTTCTATCTCTGCTTCATAGTGGGCCTTAGAACTAAAATCGAGGTGTGAATCCTGGGGTCCTGCCCAAGTTCCGGTGAGCAGAGGAGAGTGGTCCCATAGCCCCTAATTGTACTGTCTCTGCTACCATGGACTCTCAGATTACCACTGGCCTAACATGCAAACAATTTGGGTTACTTAGGTTAATGGAATATTCATCTGCTTCTTTTTATCTGTAGCACATACCTAAGTAAACATCCCAATATCAGCTGTATTGTCTTACAACCAAGTTGAGTTACAACTAACCCATGGGAACAGATCATGTTCGTAAGTCAAGGGTCCACTGTACTAGGACAGTTTTCATATACCATGTTCCTTGATGAAAAGTGTGTCATAGAATTAAATAAATGGTAGTTTACTTAGTGTATAGTAGCAGTTGGGAAAAAATGGTAGAGAAGGTTTATGGGAGAATTGGAAATCAGGGCTTTTCAGAAAATAAGCAAATTAAAAAATATTTTTGTGAGAGGGTAAAGAAAGCAGAGGGAAAAGCTATTGCAGAAAAAATATGCTGAGTGAGTCTGCAACTATCTAGGAAATACTGAAGTGGTATCGGAGGTAAAGGCTCACCTACCCATGTCTTATTTTCTCACCCTTCCGTTGTTTAGATGGCAGCTCTGAAGAAAGCCAGTGGCAATGCAGTTTTAAAATTTGAGCCACTTGTCCTTCACGTGCAGTGTCGGCAGCTGCAGGATGCACAGCTTCTGGTAAAGTCTTTGTACTTGAATTTATAGGTCTGTGAACTGACTTCATTCTGATCTTTAAATCTTGAAAATTTTGTATGTTTATTGAGCTAGTTTTTATTTATTTATTAGACTATATGATCTATTTGTTACTTTTACTATCAGGAAAAAAAAAGTACCTAATAATTGCTAGCAAAATTCAATATCCAAATTGTGGTTCCAATGTTCTCCCTTAACCTTTCCCTTTTGTATATTGTAATCCTAGACAATTGGAAGGCTCAAAACGGAAAATCATAAACACAGGGGCAGCCTGGCCAAGATGGCAAGACCCTGGCTCAAAAATAATTATATTCATTTTTTTCTCATTTTAGTATTAGATAAACATCTGACTAGTTGTGATTCTCTGTTTCATCGCCCTGTTCGTTTTTATGCCTTTTATGTGTTAACGTAAAAAGTTAAATTGCATCACAAGCGTTCACTTACTAAGGATGCATGCAGTGCCAGTGTGTCAGGCCCCAGGGCACAGCGATGAGAGTGATCAGAGGCTGTCTGGGTCCTCTGTGGAGGTTAGGAAGCAGCAAAAGCAAGCAACAGCAAATAAGGAAAATGATTGCAAAAGGGAAAATGTCCACAAAAGGAATAAGACGAGCCAGTGATGCAAAAGAGCGTGAAGGGTGGCCTTTAGCACAGGCTTCACTGAAGAGGACTCTGTAAGACAAGTCTTAAAAGGAACAGAAAGAGCTAAGCCTGTAACTGGAACATAAACACTCCAAGGGGATGAGAAATTGTATAGTATGCAGATTCAGAAGCAAGAAAGAGCTTGGTGTGCTCAGAGCAGAGGGAAGAGTGAGGTGTAAAGGGGAGTGGACTGAGAAGAAGAGACAGGGAGACAAGGATCAGGTCATTTGGGGTCTTACAGAGCAGAAGAAACGGCTGGACTGCTTTCTGGGTGCAAGGCAAGCTTGGTGAAGGGTGATTGCCAGCAGGCGTGGTGTGGTTGATGCGGTTTATTATCCGGAAACATCCATGCTGCTCAGCATTCTTAGCAGTTGGTCACAGAGCGCTCAGTGGGAAGTGGCCGAAGGTCATGTTACTGAAAAGGTGAAAAGTGGATACAGTCAAAGTATGTGTTAGTGTTTGAGGCAGTAGGATTGTGAGGTTGCCCGGACGAGAATGGCCTGTGGGAGAAGCAGGAAAGGGATCAGAGTTAATTCTTAGGTCTGACTTGCACACCTGGCTGTCCTCTACTCAGGTGGGGAGCCCTGGAGGCTGATGGGGAGGGATCAGACATTTGAGTTTTATATTAAGTGTGAAATGTCTTTAAGACACCTGTCTTAGATGCTAGTCACTCTCTGCTGGGACATCCGTAATTCGGTGACTTCTGTCCTGGAGGCCGGAAGGCTAAGATTAAGATGCTTGCAGGCTTGGCTTCACCCAAGGCCTCTCCTTGGTTTGCAGGTGGCCACCTTCTGCCAAGATCCTCTGATGGCCTTTCTCCTCTGTGGTCACGTTCCCATTGTCCCTTCTTATAAGTCTCCAGTTCTGTTCAATCAGGGCCGTGCCCACAGTCAGGGCCATGCTCGCTCCAGCTTAACTACCACCATAAGGCCTTATTTCCAAGTCCAGTCACTTTCTGGATAAGGAATTCAATGTACGACGTTAAAAACCCTATGGACAATCAATCAATACAACACCTAATTGAAAACTTCAAATAGTGTTTGGATAGAACTCAGGAGCAAACCGGAATGAACATGCACCCTGGGGAGATACTGGGACGCAGTATTGAAAGCCGTGCCAGTTAGGAACTGGTTATAGGAGATGAAGCAACGGAAGGCGCCAAAGTTGACTGGAGTGTGAGCATTTGGATGGATGGTGGTATTGCTTTGTGACAGGAGAAAGGCTGCCTATGAAAGAAGGTTGGTAAAAGCTAGAATCAGTGTCTCTGCAGCGATCTGCACTGGAACTAGGATTCATCCACATACGTGTGGTCCTTAAACCAGGGAACTGGGTAGAATCTGAAAAGGAGAACATAGATTGAGAGCATAGATTTAGTGTCTCAGCTATGGCACTGTCGTCATTTGGGGTCAGGTAATCTGTGGGGGCCCCTGTGCACTATAGAATGTTCGAGCAGGATCCCTGGTCTCTGCTCACTAGATGGCCAGTCCTGAAACCCCGGCCCTCCCAAGCCTGTCCTGCAGCTGTGACACCCTGGCAACCACCAGTGTCTGCAGAGATTGCCACATGTCCCCAGGGAGCAAGCTATTCTTGATTAAGAACTGTGGACTTGGAGAAGGGAAGAGGCCACATCTGGTCCCAAGATGCCATTTAGAGACTGATAAAGTAACTTGTAAACTCATGCCATCAATTCAGAATTTTGATGCTTTTCTCCTATTATTTCAACAAATTTTAGAGTTAGAAAAGACGCTGAGATAAGCTCTGTCTTGGAAGAAACATTATACTCATTCAAAAGAGAAATGTTTTGCTTACTTTTATACAGCGTGGTTATGTTTGCTTCTTGGTTATCTTCTGCTTTATGGAAACAATCACTAGCCAGATGTCTCTGTCTCTAGTTTTATTCTTTCTTAATGGCACTTCTAAAGTTGGTATTCTCTTATCTCTAATAGGACTTTTAAGGATACATAAGCCAAAAGAGCTTATTAGGTTTTGGGGTTATATATGTTTCTGACACTTAAAGAACTGAACAGATGATCTTATTACCTGCAAATCCAAATGTAACAAATTTTATTGTCTTACAGCATTCAGTGGCAATTGATTCTGGTTTCAGGAACTCTGGCATCACAGTGGGAAAGAAAGGAAAGACTATGTTGGTAAGATAACTTTTGGCAAAAAGCAATTCTTTGGGTGTGAAATGTTCCAGATTAGTGAATAACCTAATGAGATTTCTGCTTTTTTTCTCTCCTCTCTCACATTTTCTTATGCAGAAACCTTCAGTGAGTTACTCTTTCCTAAAGGCAAAGTCCAGAGCTTAGATTTCCAATTGAGTTCTTTTTACATAATACTGTCCTCAATTTACTTTGATCCAGACTCTCAACTGTATCCTCCACAGCCTGACTAGTCAGGGTCCAGTTTAATGAGTAGCTCGATGTAGAAGTGAGAGATACAGAGGAGAGAAAGTCTTGTGTGTTGATTCCACTGTCCCACAGATACGCCACATGAATTTGTGCAAGCTCCTTAGTCCCCAGGGTCCGGACTTTGCCGTTCTGTCACAGTTCCAGCAGGCCACTGCCCTGCCCATGGGGAGCCAGGTCTCACTACCCACTGGTGAATGATTGGCTAAAGTTGCTTTTGTTTCACAATAACAAAATCAGGTAGTTGTGGTAAATATCATGTGGCCGACAAAGTAAAAAGTATTTGCTTCCTGTCCTTGCGCAGAAATTTGCTAGGTGATCTGTAAGTCGCTTAGTCCCACGTTGTTTTGTCCTTTCCTGGACAAGTCGACCCCTGTTGTGGTTTCTGGTGATGCTCACTGTTTGGTCTAGCATGTGTTGTTTGTTTTTGAACTCTTTTAGATTACCGTGTATTCTAGCTCCCTAGACTTTTTTCTATTTTTAACAAATAGCCCATTTCCAGAATAGAGATGGCTTACAAAACAGCACACCTGATTCATTATAAAGCATGATGAAATAGAAAACCGAAGTCCTCAGTGCTGCTTTGTTCCCTACACACACACGCACACACACACACACAGTCACTGCATCTGGTGGCCAGGCAAGAGCAGAGCTATCTTTACGTTCTTCTCTTTTGTCCTCTGAATCCAGTTGCATGCAGGTCCTCTCTGTTCTGCCCCTCATTTCTCACATTGGAACCCATTGCAGGCCTTTGCTGCTGCCTTCACTTCAGCCTCCCTCATTCCCTGCCCTTCCCAACAGATCTTCCTCCTCTAGGTCTTCTCCTTGTGACCCTCCAACACCTGGAGCCCTCACCCCTTTAAAACTCAGGGTCTCCAGATATTTTGCCTGATATGCAAAGCCTTACGCAGACTTTTATGTCAGCTTATTTGTGTTCATCTCTCTCTAGCACACGTATGCTCCAGCCATGTAGAACTGTTAGTTGTTTCCCCAGTGCATCCTGCTGTCCTTGTCTCTGTGCCCACAGGCACCTCAGTTCTCTGGCTCGAGCTCCCCTCTTCTCATTTCTATGTCTGGTGAAAGTTCATGTAGCCTTTAAAATCCCAGCTCAACTTTCCTGTAAAGTTTGAGTCCTCAGGCTTGATTGGCTGCTGCTCTTCCAAATTTCATTTGCAGTGTGTGTGTGTGTGTGTGTGTTTCTTCTGTCATAATCCTCAGATGTGTTGCCATTCTTTGCCCATCTCTTTATTTTCTCTTCTAAAGTGGGATCTTAAGCGCCAGTCCTCTCGCTTCTTTATACCTTGTAGAGGGCTTGGAATATTGCAGGAGCTCGGTAACATTTCATTAAATGAATTTTATTGTTTATAGTAGCTGTGGTAAACTGTTTGTTGGCTTTGTTTTTCTGCTGTCTTTCTTAACTTCTGTTGCATGTTTGGAGTTTGTTGACTGTTTCAACAGCAGGGTTACTAAGGTGGGAACCCTAGCTCATAAAGCAAGCAGTCACTTTGTGGGATAGAAGTGGCATGATTTAAGCTTACAACTGTATTCAGCTCAAGCAGCATTGAGAGACTCTGGCATCCGTACCTTTTGATCTCCCCTTGAAGCTTTGTTATGGTTTCATTTCTTCCTTTAAATTGCATGTTAAAGCTTTCTAAGCCATAGTGAGATTGAAACTGTTAAAAGTTACTGGGTCCCTTGATGTTAGGTGTTCTTTGAAAGATGGTGCTCAGAATGCCTTTCTTTAGAAATGACTGCCTGTGATGGGAACACCTGTCCAGTCCTTTTCGATTCACCTGTGTTATATCAGAGCACAGGTTTCCAAGCTGTAATGGAGCCAAACCATGCCCAAACCCAGCCTCGGCTCAGCCTTTCCTTCAGTCATCTTCAGTGCCTCTGGTGTATGAGCCTCACACCTAAACTGTGTTTTCCTTGCAGGCTGTCCGGAGCACACATGGCTTAGAAGTTCCATTAAGCAATCAGGGAAAATTGATGGTGACAGAGGAATATATTGACTTCCTGTTAGATATAGCAAATCAAAAAATGGAGGAAAACAAGAAAAGAATCTTAAGGTATGAAAATTGGATATTTCCATGCTGCTTTTCTATGGCTGGGTTTCCTTTAAAAATATTAATGTTCGCTGTCTTTAATTTATAACCCCAGCTGCTTGTCTGCTTGTAGTTTTGTTGTGAACAATGGAAAGAGGATCGAGCTGATAGACGACAGTAAATCAGACTGTGATGGGCACTGAGTGGGACGTAAAGGGGAGGCTTCCTCGAGATAGTCGGCCATGTGCCCACGAATACAGGGCATTAATATAATCGCTCCGGAAAGAGCTCAGCAGGGAGAAGTTGAAGGCAGCCGGGAAAGATGTGCAGGCTGCCCCTGGGTCTTGAGCCTTGTGGAATGAGAACAACCTGGTTAATTTAAATCTAATAAACATTTCACACCTCTACTTCCTTAGTACCCAACTCTTGTCATAGATTAGCTCTAGAATTGCAATAATTGGCCAACTAGGAAGGATATAGCTATGAGTTCACCTATTTATCCATCTCTTGCTCCTCCATTCCACCCCCTGGCAAATGAAACTTAGTGTTACTTTCTTTTTCAACATTTTCCTAAGAAGAGAGTTTATACATAAGACCTAAGCCTCATGCTGCCTCTCATAGGTGAAGGTGATGCCACTGCACTACCATCACCCGTTTCTGAGTTACTCGAGCAGTGATGGTCGTTGGATATCATTTGTAATTTCCTGTTTTCTTTCTCCCTGCTCTTGTGGCTGCCACACACCCCGTCAGTTACCACATCTCTGAAGCCGTTATCCTCTCCATCCTTAGCCCCACTTTCTTCGCTCAAGGTCCGTGCAGTAGCCTCATTAACTGCTCTCACAGTGGGATGTTTGCATTCGTATCTTTGCTCTGTGATTTTCCACCTCACACAAAGTATGAATCACATCTGTAAAGTGCAAAGGAATCTATTGCTTGGCTTGTCCGCTTGAAATTCTCCAAAATGTAGCGCTTTTCTGAATCAGCCAAGACCAGAAGTACCAATGCTATAGCTGCATAGAAGGAAACTAGTCTCAGTGGCAGAACTGGATTCAAATCCTTGTTCCACTGAGTTACTTTCTCGGCTTCATTTTTCTTATCTCTTACTTCTGGAAATGCGTATTGTGAAGAATAATTATTAGTATTGATTAGGTTGCATGTGCTAATGAGTGCTCCTCCCTGTCATGTCATGGACTCAGAAGAGGAGCGCCCTTCTCCTCCTCCATCGGCTCATGGAAAATAAACCCATAACCATGTGAATACCGTCTCAGCCTGGCTTTTCAGCCAAGCTTCCTCATTCGAACCATAGAATTCACAAAAGTAGTAGCCTATTCTCTCAGTCCTCCCAGAGATGGTATATAACATAAACCATTTTAGATGCTTTGGAGAGAAGTTAGTTCATTGTATCAGTGGATGTTTTAGAAGATGAGGGTATAGGTTCTTAGCTGAACCCCAGTTGAAAAAAATGGACCATGAAAACCAGGCCGCCGAGTACAAACATTCGAACTACAGTGATGATTTTAGGTAAGCCATCGGAGAGTACCTAACCGATCCACTAGATTTGAATTATACTTAGCACTTATTGGTGCCAGTCCAAAAATTTATTACGTTTGTTAGGTAATAATCCACTGAGACCATGTGCTAAAACAGAGAAGGTAGTAAATCTGTTTTCTTTGTTTCTTTACTTGAATTTCAACAAGATTATAAATATAGCCCAAGAGCAACTAACTATACACCTGGTGAAGTTAATTGAGCCACGTTCACCAACTATAAAATCAAATTATGCTTTAAATCCATTGATTCAAAAATATGTTTTGAGATTATAGTATGCGTGCTGCTATCAAGAGAGCCATGCTCATCATATAAAATCAAGGAAAAATTAAAGAAGGCTAAAAGTGTCTTAAGATACTGATTAGAAGATTACATGTGGATGCAGAAAGTGTGAACAAATTAGCAAGCTCCTTTGGGAACAGCTGTATATTCTGCCAAATGCAGAGAAAGAGTTACTCTTCTGATGTAGAAAAGGGAAAAAAAATCAAACAGGGCATGATGACTTATGCAATCAGACAGGGATACTAAAACTGGCTCCTCATAAGACCAGTTTTGTAATTTAAATATCTACAGGGAAATTGTAAAAACTCCAAAAACCCAATGTGTAACATTTCAGCACCAAGAAATATTCTGGAAATACGGAAATCTTCACAGGTAGAATATTTCTTTTTTTTTTTTTTTCTTTTTCCTTTTTTTTAAGGCCTTGTTTTTGAAAAAACAAACAGACAGACAAAAACCAAGACAGTTCCTGAGCCCACTTCTCGGTGGGCTCATCCTCAGGAACAGCTGAGTTCCTGCAGTGTCTGCTGCTGGCAGGACGAGGCCTGTGAGTAGCAGCCTGCTTTATAAACAGCCAATTTAGACACTGGCAGAGACAGGGCCCAACATCAGGCATAGTACGATCATTTTATACATAATTATTTCCAGGTGAAAAATACAAAGTTTGAAGATCTCCGTACTAACTACAAGAGGAAGGATTTCTTTGTGTCTATTAATAAGAGGTCAGGACATAAATCAGATGGAACCACCCTTTGCCTGTGAGTAGAATGGAATTAAGCATGCTCTTCTTTTCATCAGCTATGTAATAAGAAAATGTGAAATAAAACATGGAATAAAAGGGCTGAATATATTGGCATATAATATTGTTAAGAATGAAGAACTTTGAAAGACAAAGTAATTGAATCTGTCTCGTGGTTGAGTGGTTGAGTTATTTAAAAAATTCCTTTTTCTGTGGTTAAATATGGATAATATGAAATTTACCATTTTAACCAGAGGCATTAAGGGTATTCACATGCTTATGTGACTGTCACCACCATCCATCTCCAGGACGTCCTCAGCATCCTGAATAGAAACTGTGTACCCCTTAAACCATACTTCCAGCCCCCGGTCAACACTACCCTATTTTATGTCTCTATGAATTCGACTAATGTAGCTGTCTGTTACGGTTCGGATCTTAAAGATTCCCCCTGAATTTCCTGTGTTGAAAGTTTAGTCATCATTGTATCAGTGTGTTCACTGAGAGGCGCTTTGGGAGGTGATTAGATCGTGATAACTCTGTCCTCATGACTGGATTCATCCATTATGGATTCACAGCTTGCTGGGTTCATGGAGAGAGTGTCATAAAAACACACTGCCCGCTTCCTTCCTGGCTGCCATGAGGGGAGCGGCTTGCTTTACACAAGCCGAAGGAAGTTTACTTTTCAGTTGCTTGTTTTGGGTGGTTTTCACGATAATGAAATGGTACCACACTCCGTAGTTCCAATAAGTGAGATCATATATCTGTCTTTTATGCCTGGCTTATCTTCACAAGTCATCTGCGCTGTAGCTTATATCAAAATTCCATTTTTGTCAAAGGCTGAAAAATGCTACATTGGATGTGTAGACAGCATTCTGTTCATCCATTCCCCTGTCTGGACGTTTGGGCTGTTTCTACCTTTGAGCTGTTACAGTGCTGCTCTGAACAGTAGTGCCAAGTGTCTCTTCAGTGCTTTTGGATATATCCCCAGAAGTAGAACTGCTGCATTGTATGGTAATTCTACATTTAATTTTTTGAAAGCTGCAATACTGTTTCCCACAACAGCTGTACCTCTTTAACATTACCACCAACAATGATAAATCAGAGCCATATCCTTGTCAATACTTAGTATTTTGGACTTTCTGACAATAACCAACCTAGCAGGGTATGAAGTACTATCTCGTTATAGTCTTGCTTTGCAGTTCCCTACCGATTAGTGAGGTTCAGCATCGCTTCATGTGTTTGTCAGCCATCTGTATTCTTTTGGAAAATAGCTATTCAAGTCCTTTGCCCATTTTTAATTGGATTACTTGAGTTTTTATTGTTGACTGTAAAAGTTCTTTATATATATTCCAAATATTAGCCCCTTTACAGATACATGATTTACAGGTGTCTGGTTTACATTCTGAGGGTTGCTTTTTTCCTTCAGCAGTGTCCTTTGGTGCCTAAAAGATTTACATTTTTTGCAAAGTCCAGTTCAACTCTTTTCTTTTGTTGCTTGTGTTTTTGACGTCTTACCCAAGAAATCACTGCCAAATTTAGTGTTGAGACTCTTTCTCCATATGCCTTTCCTAAGAGTTATAGTTGCACTTCGTGGCCTTTAAGTCTTTGAGTTACTTAGAGTTATCCAATGGCTGATCTCTCATACTGCTAAGTAAATGCCTCGGTGGAGACCTTATGAAAGCTTTGTTAGCCATCCTTTTTTCTACTAAACTGCTCTGCAGATCACGCACAAAGTCCATGTGTAACCTAGCCCAGTTCTGTTCTCGGTCTCTCACATTAGACCGAACTCAGTTCTTGGTAGAAAGGATTATCAGAGATTTCTCAAGTAGCCTTTACTCCCTCACAGGGATGATAGGTTGGATGGCGATGAACAAGTATTTAGATGTTCTTTCAACAAACACAGAGGAAGCTATAAGATGTGAGCGACTGCTGGGCACTGCAATTCAGAGATGAATTCAAACGGATCCTGCTCAGACAGCTTTTATCGTAGCATAATGGGGTTTCGGACTGGCACTGGCACGGAAATAACTACTTCAACCTAGGAAGTGGCACGAGTCCTAAAAGGACGAGGTACCTTCAGATTTCAAAAAGAAGAAGCAGTGAAATTCAGTTGTGCAGGACAAGTGCAATCAAAGGATGCTTCGTGGAAGGAGGCAGAGAGCCATGCAGAAGGGCAGGCAGGATCTTTATGAGAGCCCTGGGAGGAGGTAGAAGGAGCAGCAGCACCAGCAGAGAAAGTGGGGTGGCGTTGCTTAAACCCTAGCCAGGCTTGATGCACACGGAAGATGGAAGAAGAGAGAATTTCTGTTCCAGCACTGCTGTTTTTCGCCCTTCTTAGCTTCCTTGTGGATTTCTGGTTTTACTCTCCCTGTTCTCCAAGCTTCTGTTTCTGGGCCTGGATTCAGCTCCTTCTCCCATACTGACAGGTCTTTCACATCTCAACAGAGGCAGTCCGCCCCTGACGTGCTCCTGCTCGAGTGTGTTCTTCGAGGCCTGCCCAATGTGGCTTTGCAATTCTGCAGCTCCTGTGAAGCTGTGAGTTTCTTGAGGGCACAGACCACATCTCTTACCTGTGTTTCTAGTACCGGGAGCAGGCCTGTGCCTTGCGTGTCCTTGTATGAATTAGAACGCCAGCACTATCACCTGAAGTCCAAATACATGCATAGCACAAGAGTCACCCTTGATATTTATAAATGACGAACAGCCTGACTAGGTATGAAATTGGACCTAGATTTTCTCCAGTTTCTGTTCCTGTTTCAGAAGCCAACGTATTTCTGGCTTTTCTTGCAGGCAATTCTCTGACCCTGAAAACCAAGAATATGTTTTTTCAGGGCTGCCTGAATTTCTCTCTCATGTAGAGAGTTAAATAGAAGTAGTCTTAAGGCATGAGAATCTGGTCTAGAGAAGTACAAAAACTGAAGATAATTTCATTTTGTTTTGGGGGGTGCATCAGTGCCCAAGTATACTTTTTTTTTTTAATTTGGAGCCCTTTCTCTTACCTTGAAGAGCTAAGAAAATTACACTTCAAGAGTTGTTTTGTAGAATGTTGTGAAAAGGGTCATAGTATGAGGTTAGAGTATATAATTGCAAAACAAATTTATGACTTAATCTCAAAGGATTTTTAAAGTTCTCCTTAAAAACGGAAAAGTAACATTCGAAGTGTTTTTTGTTGTTGGTTTTTTTTTTTTTTTTTTTTTTTTTTTTTTTTAAAAGTTACTTTTTTTCATTTT